AGTTAACACATCACCGTTTTTGCATTAATAAGGCAAATATATGTAGAAGAAGACACGCAGACACGGAGGCGAGAAGGCCATGAAAAAAAAGTATATTTAGACAGTCTGTGTAGAACAAAAAACGACTGTTACTTAGCTAGCCGGTGGTCACTTGCAGGTGTTTAATGCAGCTTCAAATCATCATGGTAAGCTAAGCTAATTACATCCTGGCTCTGTCTCCATACAAACATAACAGCAGCAATAATCCTCTTACCTAACTCACATGGTTAGATAAGAAAATAAGAACGAGCATCCAGTGCATTTTCCAAAAAGGACAGTGCTCAGCGCAATTATCTGCTCACACTGTATCATTCTTATGTATCAATCTTAACAGGTTCTGATTAGCATTGGTAACAATAACAAAAATGTCTCAATTATGTAATTTTGGACAAAGCAATGCTACGGGTTATTCAAATAAAGAAATCACACAGGAGGGATCAGAGGAAGACATTTGTTAAGTTTTAAGTAAGTTTTCTATATAAAGACCTATTGGCCATGCTTGTAGCCAGAATTATGTAATGTAGTGAGGGACTGACACACCAGAGGGGAACACAGCTGAACCTAATTAGACACGACGAGACACAGACCTTCAAAGTAAAACAGGAAACTCACAAACTGTTTTACAAACACAAACTCAGAGGCATGAACAGAGCACAGAAGGGAGAACACTAAAACCTTAAGAACTAATACAAAATAAGAATCAACACAAAACACAAGATGATATCAAAATGAAACACAAAACTCTGGGTCACCGATCCAGGACCATGACACTTTCTCTCTTTCTTGCACGGATAAACTGTCTCTCACACGCCTACTTATTTTTTCATCCATGGTTTTAGGGGAAGTATTTCTTGCTCATTGACAGTCGAAAGGTCACTGCATGCATTCATTGTTCCATGATGTGGGCGCTGAGGAACCCTTTGACAATGAAACTGTGATAAGAAAGGCTGAACAAATAAAGTTAACTTGAATAATGTGTATGTCATGCTTCTGGTAAAATAAGAACGGAGGTGCACAGCGTGGATGTGGTGGAGGTGTTTGGATGGAGGTGAGGATTGGGACTCAGCATACAGCAGATGGAGCATCTGTCATGTATGTCGCTTCTAGCTCTGTGGCATTAAAGAAATCTCAGCAGACGCTTATTACAGTTTTGGGGAAGGAAGAGAAGAAGAAGAAAGCTTGATGGTATAAGTCTGTCATGATGGTAGCTCAGGTAGGCCCCAAAGTCAGGCTTCAGAGACATCAGCTGCCCTCAGTGCCAGTCAACATCTACTAATGCTTGGCACTACTGTTTAAGCTGATTTATCCTGCACACAGTTCTGTGCATCTGCAAGTTACTTTGCAACCCACCCTAACCTCACCTCTTTTTTCACAACCCTAATCAAGGTCATTTCTGTTTTCATTCATTCTTTCTGTTTTCTGGGTCTTCTCTCGGTCTCATGCCCTGCAGCATTGTGGATGTGGATGGGTATGGAGCTGTGTTATCCTTGCCTTATGCATTTTATATGTGGATGTGACGAATTGAAGATCCCCAAAACAGTCACACCACCAAATACGTATAAGTCACTGCAGATGGAAGCAGTCCCATTACAAAGTAGGATATTCTCCCTGGTGGTTAATACACGTGAAGTTACATTTACCAATATGGTAAATCATCCACCCTGGCAGAAACTTTTAAAGAGCAGCTCAGCAGATTATCTGCGTGGTATGTGTTGTTGTTTTTTAAAAAAAGGTTAATATTTGGTGTCACCATTTTTCCATTAACTTTTTTAAAGATGATAAATAAACATACCATGCTTGAAAAATTTATGAGACCACTACTCATTGTGAGGTTTATGCCACAGATGCCCTAAATTAATGCTACTTATCATTACCAGAATCATTTATGTTTTTTTATGGTTCACATCGCACAAACTCTATAATCAAATTGTATCCAACAACTTTCAAATGTACTGTTTTAAAAGATAAGCTGAAAAAATAGCAAAGCAAATGATTCATTTTATACCAAATTACACTTATTTAACTGCAGAAGAATTGGGGTTGGTGGTTGATTTTAATTGGTGATTAATTTCTGACTGATCAGAGAAGTCTTTCCTGGCTTTGGGTTTAAGAACATGAATTCTGTAATTTGCTTAAAAAATAATGATGTCATTTTCTCAAATGTACTTAAATTACTGATGTTGTCTTGTTTTATGACATAAAGTCAAGCACTGTATATTGACATATGCTACAATATTCCTTATAAATTACATATACATATGCATGTATCATAGCACTTTACCTCAGTTAATGAACTGAGTGATCATGTTGAGACTTATCAGATTTTTGTCTGGTGTCATGCTGGGGGGAGACCCACCAGACTTCAACAACCCAAACTCCCAAAGACCCAAGAGCCACGTAAGGAGGAGAAGTAGCTGTTTAATATTCAAAGCCAGCTTTGCTTTCATCCTACATTTGTACTGATGACAGCTAAGGCTACAGTTTACTGGTGTTAGCTTGTCGGAGGTGCTGTAATTTTCATAGTGAAGCTAACACTTGAATTTCAGTTGTTCCACAGCCCTGAATTATTACAGGTTCAAGTGAGAAAAGGGTATCGTATGTGCTTGTAGGGACACGTGAAGTGAGCTGCTTGTTTTAATCCTTGGAGCAGTCCTTGTGAGTAGATGTGCAGATTTTGATTTTAGAAGTGTGATTATTTTTAACATTTTTTGTTCTGGAATAAATAAAGTTGAGAAATATTTTATACTACAGGTATTACTGGTTGTAATAAGGTCAAATTGCAAAATTGTAGGGTTTTCCCCCTTTCCTTTTCTTTTTTTTGTAGCAGTTTTACTTCAGGGAGGCTGCTGCTAATGTGGGGCTGGGTGATTCTTGTACTGCAGAGATGTTCAGGCCGGTGGTGCAACTGAAGTTGCTTTGCAGCGTCATCTGTATGACATCTTTTTTTCAACACAACCAATTTGTGAATGTCAAACATTTTCCTATATAGCAAATTTTACCTTGATGTGAGATTATGCACTGATTCTGTGATGCTGGGAAATCCCCCCACTGAGCATTTCTCTTCTTTGTTACAAGAAAGAATTTTCTTAATTCCCTCCATGTCATGAGATAGGATAAGCTGGTGTTTGATTTTCCACCATAGGCATCATAGTCGATGCACACCATAAGATATATGGTAAGATATGGATCCAATTAAACTGCACAGGCACAGACTATCAGCACAGAAATCCCTACAGAGGACATATCCCACCATCTAGATAGAGAGCACTTGGCTCAGACCGCAAATGTAGATTTTAATCAGCCGAATGAGTCTTTCTCGTGTCCCAGTGTGTTTTCTCACTCTAATTTAAAGGAATAAAATGGAAAAGGGAAGAAAATGCATTCTGCCATTAATGTTCGACTGTAGGGACACTGAACCAGTTTGTTCCAAACAAAACCAAAAAAACATGAATCTCAAGAAAAAGACAAACACAAGCTGTTGTTGATGGGTTTCT